CTGCAGGACTGACCTGAAATAAAACTTTTTAATAAAATATTAAAACTAAAGTTCTTGTTTTTTGTGTTAAAACTGCTGCAGGTGACCACGTGGGGGTGCTGTCACTTCAAAGGTTTATCCTAAACTGATGGTTTAAATTATTGTTTGAGCTTTAATACCATACCACTTTATTTATAGAGCACTTAAAACAGCAACAAGGCCAACCAAAGTGCTGTACAGAAAGAACAACAGGTAACACACAAAGCAAAATACAAAATGAGGTAAATCAGAATATAGACATAAAAACGATGCAGATAATGACGATAAACCAGTGTGGAGCATACAGGATCAAACACAGATCATCTGGTGTTGAAAGCTATTGAATAGTAGTGAGTTTTTAAACGGGACTTGAAAACAGAGAGGGAGGGGGCCTGTCTGACAAGCAGAGGTAACTCATTCCAGAGTCTTGGTCCTGCTACAGAGAAGGTCCTGTCACCTCTGCGCTTAAGACGAGTTCCTGGAACTGTGAGGAGCAACTGGTCCACTGACCTCAGTGAACGTGGTGGGACATACGGTTGTAGCAGATCAGAGAGGTGGGGGGCGATGCAGTAGTTTGTGATCGTGTCGTTGGGAGGGAACAACATGACTTCAGACTTCTTTTCATTGAAACTTAAGAAGTTTAAAGCCATCCAGTCCCTGATGTCAGCCAGGCAGTTGAGCAGCGGTTGAATAGAGCATGTACCATTGTGTCTTAGGGGGAAGTAAATTTGACAGTCATCGGCGTAGAAGTGGAAGGGCATGTTGTGTTTCCGGAAAATAGCACCAAGCGGCAGCAGGTATAACGAGAATAGGAGGGGACTCAGGATGGACCCCTGCGGAACCCCCCATTTAAGCTCTGCCTCTGCGGAACTAAAATCCTTGATGGAGACACAAAAGGATCTGTCAGCGAGGTAAGATCTGAACCAATTGAGGGCTGGTCCTGTGACGCCCACCCACTGCTCCAACCTAGCAATGAGGATCTCATGGTCGATGGTGTCAAAGGCGGCTGTGAGGTCCAACAGGACAAGCAGCACAGAATCACCAGTATCTGTGGATCTGAAGATGTTGTTAAAGACCTTCAGCAGGGCAGTTTCAGTGCTGTGGAGAGGTTTAAAGCCAGATTGGAAAAGCTCTAAGATGGCGTGACCCTCCAGGAAGCACTTCAACTGGGACTCGACTATTTTCTCCAGTACTTTAGAAACAAATGGGAGTTTGGAGACAGGCCGGTAGTTTGAAACGACTGAGGGGTCAAGGTTTGTTTTTTTTCAGGAGAGGCTGGACAGCAGCATGTTTAAAGGTTTTTGGCACCACGCCAGTGGATAAACTACTGTTTATCAAGAATGGATGGACCTAGAGTTGGAAACACCTCCTTTAGTAGTCGAGGGGGGACCACATCAAAGGGGGAGCCAGAAGGCTTCAAGTTGCACATGACCTGCTCTAGAGAAGATAGAGTGATGGGTTCAAAATGGTCAAAAGGAGCTACAGATTGAGGTGGGATGGATGGGTCATGAGTTGGAGGGGAAATGAGAGCCCGGGTGGTCGCAATTTTTTCTAAAAAGAAATGTAAGAAGTCGCACAGCTCAGTCGAGGCTTCCAGAGGTGGTGGTTCAGTGAGGTGGAGAACAGAGTTTAGGGTGGAGAAGAGGACACGTGGGTTGTGAGAGTTTGAGGTTATGATATCAGAGAAGAATTTTGATTTAGCAGCTTTTACTGCTTTCTGATAACGGCACCAACTCTCTTTAAGTATTTGAAGAGACCTGCAGCCTGTCTTTCCTCCACTTTCGCTCCACCCTCCTACACTGCTGCCTAACGGCCTTGGTGACGTCACTCAGCCAAGGTTCTGCTCTGAGTTTTGATTTTTTGGTTTTAACAGGTGCAACATGATCCAGAGTCTTTAAGCAGACAGAGTTGAACTGGGATGTCAGCTCCTCAGTGGTGGTGAGAAACACCGGGGGCTGAATGATCATTTAAGAGTTATAAACATCTGTGAAATAAATCAGGCGGGGTGTTTAATTCAGTTTCACTTGAATTTTAGGTCCTCGTTCATAAAACTAGTTTCAAGGAAGAACAGATTTATTCAGCCAGAGGTAAATAAGAGAAATTTTAAAGTTATATTTAATTGTAGTGTTCCTTCTACCTGTGAATCAGATTCGGCCACTTGGAGGTGACCTTTGACCTCTGGTTTTAAAGCTGGGGGCTGATTTTAGGGAATTCTTTTAAAGGAAAGTGGATCACGTTCGGTTTTTCTGAGCACAAGAAAATGATGAAAGGTTTAACAAAGTTTGCAGCTCTCTATGATTTGGATCCACAAGTTTTACGCCAAAGTTAATAAATGTCTTTTTATTAAATCTGAGTTTTAAAATTTAATGTTTTTATTTAGAACTTGGTGTGTGAGCTCCTTCATTTTGAAGATTTGGGCCCTCGTTCAAGTTTGGACGCTGTTTGAAAGTATAAATGTTTATCTTAAAGAAGGTTTACAGATTCCTTTGAGTTCCACAGAAGTTCGGCTGTTTGGCATTATTTATTTGAAGCAAACATACAAACGATACAAACACCCCCTGCTGAGAAAAACAATGAGGGGAACTGGATTCTACAAATACTGATGAGGTCCTGATCACACGGGGGATCATGTAGTTCCCTCCTGAGGCGCGCCTTTAGCTCCTAACATTGTCCCGACTCAATAAAAAGAACATTTTGAACGGAGCCAGAGGCCGACTAGCAGCGTCAGGGTCTGACGGGGTCTGACAGGATCAGACGGGGTCAGTCAGGATCAGACGGGGTCTGACAGGGTCTGACGGGGTCAGTCAGGA